GCTGTCCTATCTCTCCAAACCCACAGCTGCCTGCATCCTTCTGTGTCCACCTGTCTTTCCCAGAAAGCTGGAAGGGAGAGCCCCTGGTCCCAGCAGATGCACGTGGGGCCAGCACAAGGCACAAAGCAGACAGTGCTATCCCTGGAAGAGCAGATAAGGGTAGGTGGATGGTTTAGGAGCACCCATACTGCATTGCTGGGAGAAATGAAAGACGAGATGTGTACTCGGAGAAGAGCAGAAGTCCAGGGGAAAAAAAACATCCAGAGATGATGTAGGTGTCGCACGCTGTCACAGCGGCGGGGGCGCGCTCCCGGCCGAGCGCGGCCTCGAGCGGAGCCGGAACCGCGGGCGGCGCCCATCCCGATCCCGATCCCGCCCTGCGCTGGCGCTGCCCCTGCGCCCGGGAAGGGGGGGCCGCGGGGCCGCTGGGAAGGGCCGGTCCCAGCCCCGCCGTAGATGTGTCCGGGCCCCCAGGAGCAGGTAAGGGCAGCCCGGCTGGCGCTGGGGCCGGGCGCCGCTCCGGAGCCGCTTTCCAGAGGGCGGCACGGCACCGGGAGCGGCGCCATGCGCCGGTGCGGCGGCCGGAGGAGAATTCCTGCTCCAGGGCCCGGGCCGAGAGCCGGGGGCTTCCCTCCCGCTGCGGCGGGCCGCGCTTGGCCAGTGCCCGGCTGTGCTGAGTGCCCGTAGTCACACCACGGCACATCTCCCCCTGAAACAGCGATTCTCCTCGCACCTGGTCCTGATGTTTCTCACCAGCAAATCTCTCACTTGAGTTCTCAGGCACTGTCAGATTATCAGGAGTGAAGCTCCCCAGCGCTCCCCAGCAATGGCAGGTAAGAGCAAATCTGGGTGAAAATGCTGCTCGCTCCAGGGTGGCCGCTGGGCACCTCAGGGATGGAGCCTCTGCGCCTTTGGGACACTGAGGTCTTACTTTTCCAAACGACCGAAATTACCTCAGTTGAGATCTGGCAGGAACAGCAAAGTTGTAACTGCTCCTGAAATTCCAGAGGATAGTATGGAGCAGGGATTTAAAGAGTTTATAGACACATTGAATTTATGCTAGCATTTGACATGCAAGTTTTAGTATTATTTTTTGCATAGCTCTTGTTTCATGGACACTGTGTACCTACATCCAGAAGCTGTACTGCAGAGAAACTGAGTTCAGGAGATGCCTGAGTTTTTGTGTTGGCAGTCAGGAAACGGGAGCTGCATGTTTTGCAGACTCTGTCATTCTCAATAGTCCCTGTAAATTTCCCTCTCCGGTTATCTATAAACAACAACAACCCCATACAAAGTCTTTTCTTTGTTGATGAGTGATTTTCAAGAGAATTATTAATATTGTAGGGCCTATGCTCAATAAAACTTTGAGCACACCAGAGAGCTCTTTGAGCAGAGCCTTGTGACAATGCCTCTAAGATATTCCATCCCTACACACCTACTTGGCCACTCAGCTTACCTGGAATCCACTTTGACAACAGTTTGAGGTACACATGACAATCTAATCTCTGAGAAAAAACACCCTCTCTACAGAAGTTACTGTGATTGTGCTGAAGTGGACAGGACCATCTTTAATGTCTACCCGAGTGTTGTAACTTGCACAGCACTGAAATGAAAGATCAGGAGGGATCCACCACTGCAGTGGGAAGGTGTTCTCACCTCTAAGAGGTTGTTTCATTGACACTTTCGAGCATCAGTCTTGCACTGCTTTTTGGGTGGTAGTGGAATCAGACCAACAGAAATGTTGTCTCAAGAGAAGGGGCTGGTTTTTCCCGATATAGGGCAGTGTGACCTGCAGTGGAACAGCCTCTCTGTCCACTGAGTTCCACCTAGGAAAGTCCAGTGTAGCACAGAATAGCTGGGCTGGGCACATGCAGCAGTGAGATCCTCAGCAGTCACTCAGTGCTGCTGAGCAGGAGTCAAATGCTGCCACTGACACCCTGCTTTCACTGCTTCTGTGTCCTTGGGAAAAGACACTAGAGAAAGAGCGAGGAACAAGCCCCAACTCTACAAACTGTTCTGCACCTGCCTCCTAGATTCCAAATGGTCTCCTGGTTTTCTTTCTGCCTCCAGGGAAAAAAGTCCTGATAGTCTATGCACATCAAGAGCCCAAGTCCTTCAATGGATCTTTGCTGAAGATTGCTGTGGAAGAGCTGACCAAGCAGGGCTGCAGCGTCACTGTGTCGGATTTATACGCCATGCAGTTTGAGCCCAGAGCAACAAGGAAGGACATTGTTGGTGAGCCCAGCCAAAATACGCCCCTCCCAAAAACCAGTGACTTGTAAGCCCCCTGTCAGGAATCAGAAGGCTGAAAAAGTCTCCCTGAAATCTTCCCCATGCTGAACAAGCCCAGCTCTCAGTCTGTCTTGATTGGAAAGGTGCTCCAGCCCTTCAGATCATCAAGAGATTAATGAGAAACTCATTTCATTAATAATAAACTTATTCATGACCAGACATCTGCATTTCTAAAAGTCCACTCCTGAACATGAACTTTGTATCACAGTGAGATTACTGACAGGAAGAAACACATTAGCACGTGTCCATAATCAGCCACTAAAGTCCATTTCTCATGGAGAGGAATTGCCTTCAAATACCACTCTGGGACTTGCTAGAGTTGAGTTCACGAGGCTACAACTGCCCCTCTCTTCTGCTAGAGACTGATGAGCTGCTCATGGAATCAGTAGAGCTGGCCAATACTGGTTGCCCATCCCATGGTGAATTTCCCAGTTACGAAGGCTGGAAAGCAGCTCCATAGTGCTTACAAGTGCAGGATGGCCTCAGTAAGCCCTAAGGCAGAGGCAGAACAATGAACAACATTCTCTTAAATTTTCCACCTGCATCCCCAGAGTCCTGAGGCAAGCTCAGGTCCTCATATTGCACTTCCTGTGTTGCTACAGAAGGTGAAGCTTCAGAGCTCTGAGATCCTACATTCCTCTCCTTTTTAAAATCAAGTGACCATCAGCTGGGATGATGCTGAATATTCCACAAGGATAAGAACGTAGCAAAAACCAAAAGCAGTAACTCAGTTTAGAACTGTGAACGGCAGCCTGCACTCAGCTCTTATCTGGTACTGATACTGCACAGGGGGCAAGGAATGACTGTTCATTTCTACCCACAGGTCACCTGCACAACTCAGAAGCATTCAATTATGGGGTGGAAACCTGGGAAGCTTACAAGAGAGGAAGTTTGTCCAAAGACCTGGTTGAAGAGCAGAAGAAAGTGCAGGAAGCAGACCTGCTGATTTTTCAGGTCATTTATCTTAAAAAGAATTCAGTTGTGATGTTGACTTTAGGTAAAGGTGCAGTAAACACTACAGATCAGTAGACAATTACCTGGGTCGTTATTACAGCAAATCCAGTAATTGAGTAGCACCATGATGCAGGTTGAAACAACAGCAACCTCAGGAACTCCTCAACAATGGGGCAAATTTCCTGATGGATGCACAAAGACATACATGACCATGGATGTCAGGCAGGCTGGCAGAAAGCAGAGGAAGCATTATTTCCTGGTCAAGGAGCTGGGGGTAGCCAGTGTAGTCAGGGAATTGGGCTTTCCCAAGTAGACTGTTCTCATTTGGTGCTGAGATGCAGAAACACTACTGGGAATTGATAACAGAGCTTTACAGCCCATGTCCATTCTCCACTCTGCCAGCTCTGTCCCCAGCATGAACAGATCCCAAAGTACTGTGAAGGAAATAGTAGTCTTATATTTCTTTGTGCCTCTGTTGTCTTAGACATCTCTTTATATATTCCTCTGCCCAATGTTATATTAAATGTAGGATAGGGCCATATCTCAATCATTTCATTGTAAGTGATTGTCATTTTCACACTATCACTTTCTAGATAAGAACAGTAAGACATGCCCTGAAGGAAGTCGTTGCCTTCTCCTTTCCATGTGTAAAATGCTATGAAGAGTTGAGTGTGTTCTGGTGCAGAAAATAAAAAAAAAATTTTAAAAGTGTCTAAAGGACATCATTAAAGAATTCAAAATTTGCTACTGATTAAAATCACCGCTTGTAGTTGCTGTGGTGGTTGCCCAGTTTCCATTTTGTTTTCACCATATATTAAGTTGCATGTGGTTACATGTTTATAGAATTTCTTCCTCTGTGTGCAGTGTGTACAAAGGCTTAGGGGTAGTGAGGCAACCTGGTATAAGAAAGAGTGCATTAAGCAGTCAAGATAATGCCATGGACATGATAGCTTTGGGATGCAGTTCCATGGGTTGACTGGAAGATCTATAAGCCAAGGGTCCAACTGTTAAAAAAGTCTTTTTCTTCTCAGTGAAGGGATTTGGGGTAATGATGTCAGCAGGGTTTGAAAATAAGTCTTTCCTATGATCCCCTGGCATTTGTCACCACACTGGCAGATCAGAACTGGTCACCAGATGACAGTCCTACTAATAAGATTTTCAATTCTTTTGCATTTCAGCCGTAGGAGACATGATTCTGTACAATCCTAAGTCTTAATTAAATGGCACCCTCCTCCTTCATCCTATTCCACCTTTAATCTGGAAGGAAACCCTCACATGCTCCACAGTGCTGGAGTGCTGTAGGTGCTCAGGTCTGGCCCTGAGGTTACCACAAACAGAAAGCACTTCAGCTTCTTTTGCCAGGCACAGGTACTTCCTCTACTGGCAGAGAGCTGGAGAAAGTACATACAGGATCTGAGCAGGTTCAGAGGACAGGATTTGTCCTGTAAACCAGGCCTAAGGGTGGCCCAGACTCTCTGTGCTAACCAGGTAATTTTCTCTTTGCGTAGTTCCCCTTGTTTTGGTTCAGCATGCCTGCAATCCTGAAGGGCTGGATGGACAGAGTCTTGGTCCAAGGCTTTGCTTACGATTTGTCAAAGGTTTATGATGGTGGTTTGCTCCAGGTATGTTTCTGGAATTGTTTTTAGATCAAGGCTTGCACCATGTTCTATGGGGCCTTGTTCATTCTTTTCCATTGTAGTTTCTTAGAGTTCTCACTTGTCACTGCTCTGAAATAATGCTTTGGTAACATGTTTAGTGATTTTCTGGGTTGTTCACACTGTCTGGAGGGTAAGAAAATAATGGGACTGCAGCATTTCCCAAAGATTTAAGCGATCTCCTAGAGATCTTTATTGGCCTGCTGTGTGGGGTTTATCATTTATTAGGAGTATCAGAGTGTGCTGGGGTGCCATACAGCTTGCAAACAGTTTAAATCAATTCATTTCCTATAATTATAGTCTTCCCACCACTATAGGACTCCTCTTATCTGTAATGACTGACACACTAGGTGTCATAGTCCTCTTCTGGATTAGATGTCAAAGGTTGGAGTTGAACTATAAAACTTAATCAGAGATCTGAAACACTTGGAGTATGAGCCTCAGTCACAACTATCTACTTTGAACCTTTTCCTCTCTGTAGCTTTCAATTTGGCAAGACCAGTAGGTCTAGATGTCAAAATCATACATTTTTGATTCCCCACAGCACTGGGAATATCCCTGGAAAATTCTGGCCCACTATCTCTGATAGATCTTATTTGGTAACAAATGCAGCATCAAAAAGCAATCAATATTATTTTCACCTTTAATTCACTGCATGTTAATCTCTGTTAGTTCTGATGTTCTTAACAATTCCAAACATTTTAGTTTCTTTAAATTTCAGAAATGGCTGCCTCATTGACATAAATAGGCATAATCCCCAGTGATCACAGCTTCACACGGAGTACAGGCTCAGGACATTTGGGATACTGCACTGGAAAAATGTTAGTTCGATTACAGAAGCTAAAACTGAAATGAGAGTAGCTGAGCACATAGCTAATACCATAATCACAGGAGCAGAAGAAACATGGTGGTTAGGCAAGCCCAAGTTTAAAGGGGGACTTTAGCAAAAAATTTCTGCTGTCAGAGAGGGCAGGAAGAGAGATTTTCACAGTAACAGAGGGCTTTCCAGCTACAGTTTTCCAAAGGTTGCATATGGAAGAAAAAGGATCAGCCCTCCTTCACACATGTTTCTTTTTAACCTAGCTCTGCCCAAAGCCCAGACACTCAGTCCATTGATGTAATTGTATGACATCAATCTTTGCCTCAGAATTGCCAATCCTTGGAATATCTGGAAAGGAAGTGGACACCCCTTCCTCTAGAAATGCATGCTGTCCAGTTCCCCCAAATATCTTTGTAACTATACAGACACTTTTCTTTAAACACATCTAACTCAAGCACCACTTTCCTAATTCTAGGACAAATTATCCTTGTTTTCTTTCACTACGGGAGGAAGCAAAGAGAAGTATGCAATCCGAGGTGATATTCGCTATCTTCTATGGCCCATGCAGGTATAATATATGAATATTTGGTTACTGTTTGCTTTAGTTTTTACTATTCCAGCTGTTTATAAACAATTGTTTTATTGATTATTTTATACAAAACATAATAAGAAATAATTAAGTTGCCTGTACCAAGCATCTGCAAGTTATAAACTGGGCTCAAAAATCCTGAGATTACTTCAAAAGTCCATAGAGTTTCAAAGTTGTTTTGTCCCTCTTCCACCAGCTTGCAACCTGGGGAAGGCTTCTGCTGTCACCTTTTCCAGTCTCTGGTGTTACAGGATTTTCTTTAGCTCTAGTTATTCCCCATGGTTACCCAATTCATGAAGGATGCCATGATCTCCTCCCCACTGCAGTTACCAGCTCCTCACCCCTGAGGTGCTGTCCAGCTCCACAGCTTACAAGAAAATGTGACAAAAACATGAAACACAACTCTGAACTTAGAAACACACAGAAAGAAAATGGCATGCTGAACTTCCACAGGCACTAGCCTTCATGCAGGATCATATGGCTAAGCCAGAGGCAAAAGCTCAAAAACTACCAAAAAAAAAAAAAAAATCCAAGAAACCAACATGGAAGTAGATGTGAAACACACTGAAGTTCAGGAGCAATCTGAGGAAGTTCAGACTGGACAATGAACTTTAGACTGTCCCTTATCCTTGCAAATTGAGCAGCATACAGCATCCAAAGAGGACAGTCCTATGTGTTTAACACCAATTTACTTCCCTTCTCCTGACAAATGCACAGGTTTAGAGTTAGAGAACCTGACTGATATTGGTTCAAAGAAATAGAACAGATTTGAATCTTCCATGTTTTTCAAATGAAAGTAAGAGTAAATATTTCCTGAGGCGGTTTTTTTTTTTTGTTTTTGTTTTTTTCTTGGTTTTTT